TTACCTCGCAATACTTTTGCGTTACCTCGCAATACTTTTGCCTTCCCACACAATATTTTCCTTTACCTCGCAATACTTTCGCTTTACCTCACAATACCTTTGCGTTACCTTGCAAATGTTTGCATTCCCTGGCAAAATTGTTTTGTGTTCCCACGCAAAAGTTAGTTTTGTAAATGAACTGACTTAAACCAGACTTTTATTTTGAAATATCCAGTTAGCAAAAACAGGATGTGTTGCCACAAGTTCATGAAATTGACAATGATGTTGCGTGACTGCACTGTGTTAAAGTATCGTCATGTGACAGACTTCCATGTGTGGCTGTGTGATATATTTATTCTGAAGCTGAATTAGAGCAGTAGGCTAACTTGCTAATGGTGAACATGTGAGTTTGTTAATAAACCGGCAGGCACAACAGTGATGAACGACTTTTGCGAAGTAACGCAATACTGTTGCGTGAGAACGCAAAAGAAAAAAAATCTCCCATGTCCCCTCATCCCCTCGTGGGCTCTGTACTTTCTGGCACCAGAATTCTGGATATAGTCAACAGTTCTTCAGTCTCTTYTCTTGAGACGGGGCTCGGGCGATCACAGAGGACCTTTTGTTCTCCTGCACTGCAACCAGGAAAACATCCTGTGTACAGATCCCTGTATGTAAAAAAAAAAAGTGATTGTAATATTTTTGTAAAATTTCCCTTCATTCTTCCAGGTTAATACCATTGAGCAGCCTGCAGCAACAGAGACTCGTAGCTCATTTGTGAACGATGGACAAAATGCCTTCTGCTTTGATCCCAGGTAACGACCCCCCCACCTCTACATCTCCCATAAATGCAGCCCAGGTTCACCACAACCCCAGCCTGTGTGTTGGAACTTGTCTAACATGTTTAGCACCACACACCCAAATTTGTTGGCCACCCACTTCGCATCAGACAGACGCTCTTTATTAGCCCACACTTGTGGTTTTTTTCTCAGATCATTGCCCTGCCGCTACCTAAAACCCCTCCCTCTTTCTTTCTTTCTTCTCGTTTCGCAGCATGGACATGAAACGGTGTCCGCTCTGCGAAGTCATCTTCCCACCCAACTACGACCAGAGCAAGTTCGAGGAGCACGTGGAGAGCCACTGGAAAATCTGCCCCATGTGCAGCGAGCAGTTCCCGCTGGACTGCGACCAGAAGGTGTTCGAGAACCACGTGCTCACTCACTTCGACGGCCACCTGCTCAACTTCGACTGAGCGAACAGGAAGATCAGCACATCCAGTCCGCCATGTTTCTGTCAACACACTGAAACGAATCACCCTGAACTCTCCCCTGCATGTGACCGCGTGAAGATCCTCTCTTAAGGACAACTCCGACTTCTGCTTTCTCACCTGGCCGACAATTAACAAACGTTTCTAATTCAGTTTGTAACGCAGGGCTTAAGAACCTTTTTTTTTCTTGTTTAAAAAAATTCTCTTTTGTTTCAAATTTAAGATGAAGACTGTTTAACGCATAAATATATATTTTACTGATTTGAAATAAACTTGGTTTTCTTAGATCACAGGATGTAACTTATCAGGGAAAGAGCTGAGTGTTTACCAAACTGACATTAAAAAAAACATAAAAATGCTTCCCCCTCTTTGCTTTGCTGTTCAAGTCATCGGTTTCTAGAGAGCAGCTTTGGTGCACTATATTCAGTCAGGGAGAAATCTTCAGTAACTAGATCCATACATGATTATACAGTATATCTTCAGATCATTTATTTTAGACGATTTAAAGACAATATTGTGACCACCTTGATACTTTTTGTGCATTATGTAGATTTTTATGTAGGTTTCTTTTTTTTTTGTTTTGATTCTGATCGTCTCTTAAAACAATGTTCTTCATGTCAGCTAATCAGTGCATGCAAAGCTTTTTGTTCAWTTCTTTTTCTTTTGCTCTTTTCTGTTGCAGTAATAAGTTATTTCATTCATTTAAAAAAACAAATCTTTCATTAGTTTAGTGAGTTTCATGTATCTAAAATGAACGAATAAAAGTCTCTTCGAAGTCTAATTGTGTCCAAACAAGTTATTAAACCAGAGTCTGAGGAAACAAATTTTTAGTGTAAAATTTATAACAAATGTTTACATGAAGCAGCTTTTTTTTAAAAGAAATACAGTACATCTATTTTTTTTATTTTTGTTTCACATAAAAACATCACAAAAATAAATTTAATGCACTTACAAGGTGAAAATACATTCGCTGTACAAGACTTCTTTCCATGCTGACAGTACAATAATGCCATAATTCTCAGCTAAGTTGGAGAGATTTAAAAAAAACATTCACAATAAGAAGAGTTTATTCAACGGCACAATCTCCTTCCCATAAAAATGTTGAAATACTGCATAAAATAGGATAAGAATAATTGGCAATGATTTCTTTTATCTGAAAATAGAACACTTTTTTATGGTCCATGATTCATCTATGGTAAGAAAAACCCTTTAGAGCGTCACTTTACAGAGAAAATCCAAAATCAAAGGGCTTCATTTAGCAGAAATGGATTATAGATGAAAACATTTCTAAAACAAAAATGCTAACTTGGTCCAGGAAAACGAAAGCAAATGTGACCTGTTGAACTGAGGAYTGAGTCTCAAAGTAATGAAACAGGCTGCATTGGTCAAAACAAGCAGTTRCATCTTGTCAAAATATAATGAATAAATACCTTCWTTTCAATGAAATATCTGAATACAATCTTAAGGATTTTTTTGAAGCACCTTTTTGAGCAGTACCTACAAAAACATGATTGTGAGCAGAAAAGTTGTAAATTTTCGTCATTTTCTCTGCAAGCTCATTTTCTCTTTGTCTTTTCCAGCTGGTAAATTTTAATGTTCAAGTATTATTTGAGGTTTTTTTTTCTTAAAAATGATTAGAATCATTAAAATAACATAAAAATAGGATTTAGAAAAAAAAAGAATGGATTGTCCTTTATGGGGAGACAAATGAAGGCRTACCCTCATATCAGGATGATCCAGGAAAGCTTCAACAGCAGGAATCAGTTTGATGTGGTGGGTTATAAATGTTGTGATTACAAATGTTTTAAGTAAAAAAAAGCATTCAAAACATCTTCAAGCTCAAACTCATCTTAAACTGGTGGAAATATTTGCCAACAACCTTAATCGGTACAGTTAGGCACAAAGTTGCAGAAACTGTTTCTGTAGAAACTCCCAAAGATTTGGCATACAACACATAAATTATTTTTATTTTCTTAAAGACATAATTTTCCAAAATCTGTTCATCTKTTGTAGACAAGTTCTCCTTTTGTCCTTTACCTCCAATTTCACACGTGAGTAATTCCGTTATTTGGCTTTTATGTTTTTTTTCTAAAAACAACATAAACGCACCAAATTTTGCGTCCACAACCAGTTTCTAACACAGCACGAAAATCCAATTTATCAAAAGCTTCTTTTGCAAAAATAATAAACGAGTAAAAAATTTAAATTTTATTTTAATCTAATACTTTGAAAACATTTGGCTTTCGAAGCTTCAGTAAACAGCTGATGAAGAAAACAACTTTTATTTAAAAATAAGCATTATTTTGCAATAAAATATCAGCTTTTGATTTATTTGATGCTATTTTCACTTAAATAAAATCAGTTTAACTGTGCCCCAGATATTTTGAAAATCAGAGTTTTCCCTATTCTTTTCACATTTTTCCTGCTCATAACATTGTCATTATTAAAATCAAAAATGTTATTATGGCACAGTGGCGTCACTAGGTTTTAAGGACAAGGGGGGCTTAGCCCCCAGGAGACGGACAAATTTTTTTGTGTGTGTATATGACACAAAATAATAGTTGCAGGTGATTCTCAAAGCCCTAAAAATAAGACTCAATATCAATGAGGTGAATTTATGACTAGGCTGCGGACAATTATTTCCTATTAATAAGAAYGCCATCATTATGATCACATTGTGAGCAAACAGACCAGCCTTCCCTGAAGCTACGTTTAGTTTGTACTCAGACAGAAACTGTTCAAACGCACAATGTTGGAATGCTTTACAATCCAAGGCAGCTACTGTTCACACAGAAATCTCACAATACTGAAAACACTGGACATGAACTAGTGTCCACTCATCATATGTACACTAGAAAGAAATGTGAAACACTCTTCTGCTTGGCAACGTCTGTAAAAAAAGTGCTTCAATCACTTGCTGTAAAAGCAGCAAGAAAAATGTATTTTTTAGTCCCGAAGAAAGTGATTCATAAACCGTCATCACTGCTTCACACTTGGTGACATGTGGAGCAAAAAAAAAAAAAAAATGCTAGCAGAAAATTACCTGAGAGATTATCAGTTTTGACTCAAGTTCTGCAAAAATGACCCAAAGAAATGGGGAGGGGGTTAACAACTTATTCACTCCAAGGATTATAATGCTACAATATTCATGTTTTTTTTCTCAGCAGAGACAGTTTGACACCACAGCAAAAAAAAAAAAAAAAATGTAATCGTGCAAAATAAAAAAAACCACCGAACTANAACTATGAAAGAACTTGAATACAAATGAAAGACAAACAATAAGTCGTGCAATCAAACCCTAGTGTTGTTGCAAACTGRAATAAGGGTGAAATAAAAGTCAAACGCTGACAGGTGAGGGGTAAAGGTCAGGAGATCCTGCTGGTGACGGTCACGTTCAGGTGGGTGCCGATACGACCTGAGAGACTTCCACTCAGCCTCTCACTGCTGCAGCTTTCGAAGRACGTCTGCGGAGACAGGCGGGTGGAAGTTGATGGCGTGGTGGCGGAGACCCTGAGACGTTTTGTAGCTCTTCCCACACCGGCACTTAAAAGGTTTGCGCACTCTAATCTGGGTTCGGTGGCCGTTCTTGGCGTGATACTTGATTCCGTTCACGTTCTGCAACAAGACAAGTTGAAAGCATTTTTAGAGAGTTGGAAAACTACGACAGGTAATACATGGAGAATTAATTTAGCCCCCCCCCCTCTTTTGGTTTACAAGGAAATGTCCACGCGTCCCCCAAACCCCGCTCCCAAATCTCCAACCAGACTTCAAACTCGGGTGCAGTTTTATTTCACAACTCAACCTGTTGTAAACTAAATAAATTATAAGTTGCAATAAAACAAACTACAACCTCTTTATAGTAACAAAGCACTATTTTAAGTACAATTATTTTTTGTGTGTGACAGTATTCAACATTATCAATAATTTTTTTTCCAGCAACACTATAAGTGACAAACTTCGACAGAGTATTAGGGCCACACTACAAGATTTTTTTTAAATTATGAGAATAAAATCACATTACTATGAGACAAAAGTCATAATTTTATGTGTGTCACTGTGTGAAGTAGTCCATGATTACTTTTAGGTCGATGTTGGTGTATAATGCTTCCATCTATGTTACGTGACGACTAAACGTCAAAGCAGCCATTATAACGTCACAAGATGCTCAACATTTCTTATTCTAACTCAGTGGTAAGACTGATTTTTCATGTAGTTCTCATAATGTTATCACTTTATTCATTCTAGTAATATTATGTCTTTATTCTCATAAAGGACACCACTTTATTTTTTGCTTTAATATTTGACTGTATTCTTGTATTATTTCGATTTTRTTCTTGTACATTTTTCTCGTAATATTATGACTTTATTCTCATAACTAAAAAAAAAAAAATTATCTTGTAGTGTGGCTCTAGATATACCGAGTTATTTCCTAACTGCGCGTTGGTGTGCTTTTTTGACAAAACACCTACCACTCACCCCCATCTGAAAAKAAAAAATAAATAAAAGAGAAACAACTTGGGAGTATCACAGTCTTTCTGTCATCTTAGTCTATTTTGAAAGGATATTAAGTGGAAAGGTCATGGGTRAGCTCAGCTTTACTGTACAAATATGTGCAACCATGTTGATTCTTTAGATTAATGAAGATGATAGAAAATAACGGAATATTGCCGACTCCAGCTGTGACTTAGGAGTGGAGGCTTAAAGACAAACTGGTCTGTGTGACAATTTCACACAAGTGTTTTCTGAAAGGGCCTGTTGTTGTTGCAGAGTTTGGTGGCGGTGTTTGTGAGGGTCTTAAGGACTGAATGTTGGAAGCAAAATTAAATATTTACAGGACAAATGCTTAAAATGCTCACATCCCTATTTAGGCTGCACTTCCTGCAGGAATATCTGAATATTTCTGCTAAATGAACTGTGTGAAGCAAAGCTGACAGTRGGATCAAGATTTATTAAATACTGTTCATGTGAAACTTTTTAATGTCATTTCAAAACAGTTARTTTTGGTCTTTGCTCTGCTCAGACTAACTGTTCATCAGTTTGGTTAGAATAAAACTAGATTAAAACTAAAAGTCTGTTTCTCCAAACTTGTTCTGGTTTCGCTCTTGGGTTTGGTTATTGAAAGCAATTTTTTTTCTTTTCTTGCTGTTTATATAGAGTAGTGTTTTATTTTTTGTAATGTATGGATTTTTTAATTTATGTAATTTTTGTT